CATCACAATTATGAATATGCAATTCACTGAGGAATTTGAGGTTGTCTAAACTTGGAAGAGTCTCTAGATTAGGACACTCACTTACTGACAAGTACTCAAGAGAGACAAGGTTTGGTGGCCCATGTGGTAAGTAACTCAAATTTTTGCAAGCATGGATATTCATGGAACGAAGAGAGGTACAAGATTCTAGCCCATTCAGTGCACTTGTTAATGCATCACATTCTGCAATGGTCAATTCACGGAGGGATGTGCATCCATATAAAGTTGGGATGTACTCCAGACGTCTGCACCACTTTATAGACAACTCCTCAAGAGAGACTGGGGAATAAAACTCCAGTCCACTCTGTGGACCCACTGATGTCAATCCACCACAGAAACTAATCACCAATTTCCGGAGGGATCTCAGACTCTGAATTGGCATGGATATTAGACCATCACAACTGCTTATTTCCAAATCCTGAAGAGAGGTACACTTGTCTAGCACACTCTGTAGACTTGACAATTCATGACAAATACTAATCTCCAATTGACAGGAGGGATGGAAAATGATTTGGAACATCTTTCAATTGAGGACACTCTGAGAGAGTCAACTCCTCAAGGAAAGGAAACACCACTATTTTTCCATTTGGCATTTCCGATGGTTCCATCCATTTGATCAGATTGGGGGTTGTACAAATTCTTAATGTTTTCAATGCTGGAAACAAAGTCTTCGTCTCCTCACTTGTGGAAACTCCTGCATCGCCAACATAGCCATAAAACTTTCCCACGGTTTTTAGATTACTCATCGTATCAATCTCAACATGTGTAAGATTAGGCAGATGACCAAATATTGGGACTTCTTCACATGCGTTGCACCGAAGTAACCGAATCTTTTTCAAGCTCTGGAGTGACACCCGTGGCATCCATGAGGAAAATTTAGCACCCATGAAATTGTGAATCTCTAAAGTTTCCAAATTAGAGGGTAGTTCGAGGCCTTGTAGTATATCACCATCGTTGTTGTTGATCCGCTTCCTTTCCTCGCTCCATACAAGTGTTAACTTGAATATGTTTCTCTTCTCCGCTAAATTTGCTTTCTTCGCTTCTCCTCTACACCCATGAAATTGTGAATCTCTAAAGTTTCCAAATTAGAGGGTAGTTCGAGGCCTTGTAGTATATCATCATCGTTGTTGTTGATCCGCTTCCTTTCCTCGCTCCATACAAGTGTTAACTTGAATATGTTTCTCTTCTCCACTAAATTTGCTTTCTTCGCTTCTCCTCTAGCACTCACATGTTCCATATCATAAATAGTCAGTATCCCTTTCAATTTGTTTAAGAGAGCCAACTCCTCAATTCCATGACCTAGACCCACAATAAAGCAAGGTATTGTCCGGAGGTTAGTCAATTTCCCAATCCCTACTGGAAGTTCCCTGTACCAACCAAAATTAATATGTCTCTTTTCTTGGACAGGATCAAAATAAATGTGCCTTAAGTTGACCAAATCTTGTACTTCCTTTGGAAACACTTTAAGCTTTTTACACTTCTGCATTCTTAACGTCTGTAGGTTATGGAGCATGCCGATAGTTGTGGGAAGTGCTTTGATTTCTGTTCTAGAAACGTTTAAATACCTCAACTGCTTCAGCTTGCCTATTGAACTTGGCAACTCCTCAATATCAGCCTGATATAAATTCAAGACACGTAAAGCTGTAAACTTTGGTAACATCTCACTAAGGGACAGCATCATTCGAAAACAGTGAGCGCAATTTCTCTGGAGTTTTTTCAAATACTGAAGTAGGAACTCCTGCAACATGTCTAATTGTTCGTTTCCCATCCATCTCATCAATATTAGAATCCCATGTCAAGCTTTCAGATATGGCTACAAGCTCTGCAAAATCATGCACAACATCGTGCATCTTGCATTTGGTAATGGTACCACAATCATCCTTCGTAGCATCATGGAATAAGCAATTTTCCCACAAAGTATTAAAATATTCATTGCCTATGTCCTCTATCTCTTGATCACTTCTGTTGGGAGAATGGTGAAACGGCAGTCCTTGAGCCATCCACAGTTGGATCAGGTTATCTTTTTCAATTTCAAAATCTTTTTTGAACATTGAGCAATAAGCAAAACATTGTTTCAAAAAAGGTGATGTCAAATTATCAAAACTCAACTTCAAATCCGACAAGATTCTTTCCCCTCCTGGTAAATCCCAAGTTCTTGTTTTTTGAATTGACAACCATTCCTCTTTAGTTTTATTATGCATCCTGCTCCCGAAAACCTGCCAGTACACTGTTAGAATTCATATCAAATGATAAATATGATAAACTAAGGGCTTAAAATTAGCGATAATAACAAAAACTATCAATATTAGGTTAGTTGAAGTTCACTATATTTCCACATTATTTTGCATCGATGACAAACTTTGCTTTTTCTTGTTTCCTTAGAGCTAGCTTTCCGATGACAAATTTGGTTAGAAGTATTTAAAATAGAATTATTATGAAATAACTTATATTTACTTGGTAAGGATCAACATTGCACTTATGGAATCAATGAGAAAAGAACTCCTCAACCTCTTTACAATACGAAGAAAAATAAATAAACAGAACTTTATCACCTTATATTAGATTTTGTCTACAGTCTAACCCACTGTATATATATATTTCCTGGTGGGTTTACCCTATTTCTTCCCTTCACGTAACCATGTTTCTATTATCAGGATTTTTCTTTGCTAATATTGGGTATTACATTCTGCACCCATCAATTCACCAAATTTTACATTCCACCCCAATATTAGAGAGAAAATCCTGATAATAGAAAGAAATGAAAAAATTTAAAGTTTACGCTGCAACATTTTGTACTTCATGGTGCCAGGTGAAATTTGGTTCATACTAGAGGGCGCAAAATGAAATTCCGTGGATATTACTTTCCTCATATAAATAATAATGTACCCAATTTTCGTTAATGTACCTAATATTTTATTCATATGAATATTTTACCTTTTTTTTTCTCTAATGGATCATGATGTACCACACTAGGAGTGTGTTGTGGTTATTTAGGTGTATTATTGTTGTTTACAAATTATTATTTTGTTTTATAAATGTACTTGTCTATAATTATATATGTAATGAAAAACGCCGTTATGGTTAAATGTCAAAAATTCTATAAAATGCCCCTCGTCGACTAATATGCTAACAGAGATTTTCACCCTTTTTTTTGGGCCAAAGTTAGGAAGGGAATTTGAAAACTCACACACACCATGGGGGCTTGAACCCTGGAGCACTTGGAGGCACACATCCAATGGGTGATTATCACTTATTCACTTATTTGAAAAAACAGTAATATTTCATCCACCAAAAATGATTTGATCATGCTTTATCGTTCCCAGCCCCAAAAATCAAAGCTTTTGAAGAACCCATTTGAGAATGTGAATGGTTTATTATACTCTATAGCATAAGAGTTTGAAGGGGCTATTTCTAGTTGATTTTTTATTTATTTACTCAAAGACAATGAGAAGAAAATAAGAAGATTAAAGACCAGTTTAAAAAACGAGTGACTGGAAGATTAAGTAGTAACAAATAAGAATCAAAAGGGAAAGGAAAAGGAAAAAAATTCTAATAGAAAATGTAACAGAGCGTACCTGTGCAACTAGTGGTACACCCCCACACCTTTTCACAATCTCCCTTCCAATCTTCTCAAGATCTGGAGACATTGGAGCACTATCATCAATACCTGCTTTATGCTTCAATATGGACCAACATTCATCTTCTGATAGACATCTCAAATCACACCTCTTAAGTGTTCCTGTAATAGATGCAACTTGGGCACTAGAGGTAGTGACAATAATTCTGCCCCGAGCAGAATCAAGTGCTGACAAACCAGTCTTCAATTTTTCCCATTTTTCACGATCTTCATTCCAAACATCATCGAGAACAAGAAAATACATTTTCCCTTTCAACTCTTGTTTGAGGATTTCAAGCCCATCCTGATTTTCTGTTATTTCAGCTGTTGTTGGGCTAAGAAATTTTGAGATCTTATTTAAGATTGAATTGACATCAAAAGGGACAGATACCTTAACCCATATTAATTTGTCAAAATCATTTTTCATTTCAACTTCTTCGTATATGGATAGAGCCAAGGTTGTCTTTCCCAGCCCTGGCATTCCCACAATGGCCATAACCGAGAGGTTTTCCTGATTGTTGGGGTCGATGAGGTGTTTGTACCCAATTTTGGTCAATGGACCAAAAGTGGTTCCATCCCCAAAAAGAGCATGGCCAGGGCCCAAGCTCAATAGTTGTCTGTAAGTTGTATTTTTTCAAGAGGACTTTTCTTGTTTAAAATAAACACCAAGACAGGACCAAAACCGAAGCCCAAGAATAGAGGGCCCAAAGCGATTGGACTACTGAAAAATGAAAAATCGGAAACTGTTCCAAACCCACGCGAAGTTAGAGAAGGACCATCAACATTTAATGACGATTTGACTTTTCCCTCTTCCAGTAAGAAAGCCAGTCGCCTAAGGAAGCCACCAAGCCAGGTAAGAAGCCAACTTGCATATCAAATCGCCAAGTACAAAGACCAGAGAGCTGTTTCGAAGGACCGACGGTTCTCGTCAGAAAGTCCAATCACCCCCACTATGGACCGGTTCAGGACGTCAAGTCAGCAAGCTGACTTTGGACAACAGCCAAACATCCTCGCTCAGTCATCATCCCTTAAGACCTCCCCTGCTCCTATAAATAGAGAGCTTCCAGCACAGAAGAAGGGGACTCTCTCTCCAAAAAACTAGACGCAACGTCTTGTAAAACACCTAAAAAGCACTCAAGATATTCCAGTCAAACTCGCTCGGATTTCAGATAGCCAGACGACTTCTGTGTTCATCTTTTTATTTCTCTGCCATCTTCATGGTATGACTAACTTCTGAAAAATGTTCAATTTGAATTTGTATAATTTAGCCGGCTATAAACCTTAGATCACCGTGATAATATATTTCATAGTTTGGAACCAATAAACATGGATCTTTATTGTTGCTGTTGTTGATTTAAGAGCTGAATAAATAAGAATGATGGAACTCGTATCTAAAGAACTCTGTTATGCTTGTATCTGCATTCATCTCCATATCTGCAATACTTAGGCATTTTCCCGTTTCCATTTTATTTAAACTGAAAGCTCACAAAAGGTTTTTAGCACGAATCAGGCCTTATAGGCTTAAGGGATATAAACTGATTGGGCCCGAAAATCACATAGTTGGGCCCGAATTTGTGGTTAGCTCATATATAAATATATTTAAATTCAGATTTAGGTTTGTAAACCCGTGCGAGGTGTTTACTAACCAAAAACATTGTCTTTTTTCCTTGCTTGGATAGGTGTTGTTCGCACCAACTAGAGCCGATATATACATGAGAGAAAGAATTTTGAAGTCCTCTTAACTGGGGCAGAGAAAAGAACCAATCCAGGCCAGTACCCCACTTGGAGCATAATGGCTTGAACAGAGGTCCAGAAAAAAGGCGCAAACTTCACAAAACACTCATCACACTCGCTTATACCAGGTCTGTTGGACTGGTCTTACAACCAACAGTGGCACGCCTATAAAGCAGAACACATGAATCAGAAGGAATTCGGAAGTTAAGCCCAAGACAAGGCTGGACTGGATTTTTGTCAACCTCATTCAACTTTCAATTTTGTTGAATATTGAAATAGCATCTGCGCGAGCCAAAAAGATACAATCGGGGCATTGATGTCAATCTAGCAGCTGTCGTATTCTTCCGAGCACGCCTATTACGACATTTGGCGAAAAGAATACCTGGCAAGAAAGAAGACCAACATATTTTTGGCACGCCCAGTGGGACTTTCACTCGTGTATGGTGAGAAGGACCAGAAAGAAAGTCTATATGGTGGAATCCACACAAGCCACTGACGAGAGAAACAAAGGGATAGTGGAAACGGAGTCAATGGAATCTTCCACGGAATACCCCTTTGAACGGCTGGAAAAAGCCATGAGAGAAGGTTTCCAGGCGATGACCAGCTCTATGACCAACTCTATGAATCACATGTCCCAGAGTATCGTCCAGACCGTTGAGAAGGGACATGTGAACACGACTCTACAAGGAAATGAGACTAGGGTTCACCTGAGTCAAATCTTCGAACGAATCATACGAATGGCGCAGGAAGAGGACGCGCCCCGGAAAGAAAAAGGGCTCCTCGAGAATGAGAATACCTCTTCAGGAGTTCCAAAGTATTCGTCGGGCCAGACAAGCGGCCATGCTAACTCAACATCTCCCAAGATGGTGGTGGGAAGCTCCTGTGGAACACCTTTCCAAGTTGTTCACACAAGCACGTCAGACATGGCGCTTGCTGGTCCAATCGCTACCCAAGCAAGCAGTCCATCTAAGGAACCGGGAGGCCAGCGGTTCACACCTTCTGGAACCCCTTCCAAATATCAAGCTCCAAGGACCAGCGAGGCCGCCTTACCACCTGGACCCGTCCGAAAGAATATGTATGCCGAGAGATGGAGAGAACCCGCGGGATTCAACGTCCACATTGCCCATAATAACGGTAATAATGGGGGTAATGGACGGGCTAGGCGAGACTATGCAAGGACGACTGAGCTGCCTCAAGATTCAGACGACGAAGACGAGGCAGGTCAAAACCCGCAGGCCGCTATCGAACCTCCTCCGGCAATCCATCCAGATGAAGCCATACGAAATGAGATGGAGGGACTGAGGCAGCTTTTTTACAATGGTCAGGCTGGAATCAGAAGAGCGGCTCGACCCACTTACCAGAAGCCCTACCCCACATATATCGATGATTTTCCATTTCCAAGGGGATTCAAAGTGCCAAATTTCAGTCTATTCAATGGAGAAGATTTGTACGCATCAGCATTGGAACACATCGGGCGCTTTTCGGCCCAATGCGTAGCCATCGAAACCCAACCTCTTTTGAAACTGAGGTTGTTCGGAAGCTCTCTCTCGGGCCAAGCATTCACATGGTATTCAAATTTAAGCCCGAATTCTATCACAGGATGGGCAGAAATAGAAGGAGCCTTTATGGAGCAATATTATCGGCCCGAACTTGAGGTCACTATCAATGACTTGACTGATATGAAGCAGGGAGAACATGAAACGGTATAGGATTTCATCACTCGTTTTAAGAAGCTCAAGATGAAATGCAAAATCCCCATGGATGAGAAACACTTCATCAAGATGGCCCAAAATGCTCTCAGGCTACCCCTTCGGAAGAAGTTCGATGATCAGGAATTTATGGACTTGCAAGATGTGGCTCAACGAGCCGGGAAGTATGAGTTATTGCTCCAGGAAGAGGCGCAGAGAAGGAACAGCTCTAAACCTGTCTACTTCAAAAACCCAGTCCATCATCTGGAAGTCATCAACGAATTTACTGAAGCCAGCGAAGAAGGTGTCGGTCCAGAGGTGTCACTTGCAGAGATCATTCAAATAAAGAATCCGATCACCTGCAAAGCAGTGATGAGACCGGGAAAAGAACAGCGGAGCAACCCTCCCCCAACCGGAGGATTCGTACCCTATAAGCAAAAACATAAATCGTATTCCTTTGATATCTCCAAAGCGGAAAACATCTTTGATGAGCTGCTCAGAGGGAAGGTGATCAAACTTGACGAAAAGCACGTATTCCCAAAACAAGAAGAAGTGAAAGGCAAATTGTTTTGTAAGTGGCATAATTCCTTCTCTCATGCTATTAATAATTGCGTTCAGTTTAGGGATGCTATTCAGGATCTCATCAATGAAGGCAAGATCCTCCTGGACAAACCAACCACTATGAGAGTCGACAATGAACCGTTTCCCACTCACATGGTTGGAGTCAACTGGCCCGAAAGACAGAATAAGAGAAGGATCGTAGTAGATATTGAGAAAGCGGGGAAGGCTACCTCATCATTGATAGAAAGACCAAAAGCGACCATCACAGCCGGAATTGTTATGTGCAGCCGATGCAAATGCGAGTGCGAACTTGAGATACTTGCCATAGGAGGAAAGATAGATGAGCGACTACTTCAAAATATAGTCGAAGCTGACCAGAATTTCCACAGGTCCGAAGCCCGAAACTATAGCCCTTTTAGCCCACTTTAGGGCCCGAAAGGTAATTATGAGAAGTTTCGAGAAGTAAGCAGAAAATTCGTCCAAGAGCCATTTATCCCAAGGAGGGCCGAGCGTATAAGACTAGAAGATAGAGACGAATGGCGCACGAGATTGGTCCGACCTGAATTCGAAGCATCATCTGCCCAGCCTGGGGAGATGCGCGCTCAGAATGAAGGAAATAACAGACCATCTACCACATCCAATTCGACCAATGTGAAGCCAACCGAGCCCGGTAGAGTTGCAACGGTTCGACACGGCAGGTGGTACCTAGTGGGAAAAGGAGGCAAGCCTGAGAGGGAACTGACCAACACCCAGGCCCGAAGAGTCAGGAGGCAATACGGGAAGGCCAGAAGATATTTGGAAAACCAGACGGTCAACCTTGACTCCATAGCCAACATCGAGGACAGAGGCCATGAAGTGCAAAGTAGAGAACGACCAACCACTGGAGTTCTTAGACCGAAAGCATCACCATCCTTCCCAAAGATCCAGGAAGAAAAGGAAACAAGAGAACCAAAGCCACAACACCACGCTTCGGGTGGTCAGTCGCTGCTTTACTCAAAGATACCAAGGCTCTCGACAGGCAAAACTATCCTCAAGCGCCCTTCGAAGGCCGAAGGCGAAGTCGTTTCGCGCGACCAGAACAATGAAAAGACAATGGCAGCAAAGCCCGAAGGCGGACCATCAAGGTCCGATTTAAAGGTTATAATGCCGCAAAAGATGATTCAGGCCAAGTTATCAGTGGAAGAAGAAGAAGATGATAACATGTCCGAAGAAGAAGATGACGACTGGCTGAACTATGAACTCAACCATGAGGAATTCAAAGCCGCTTTGGGATTAAAGATCAGAGGCAAGGAAGAAGGTGAGCAGCTTAATCACACCCCAACCTTGACGTTCGGAACCTTAGAAGGGGTCCCCAAGAACACTGTCACGACAGAAGGGACTGCAGATCTATCAACTTCAAAAACCATCCCAAGGAAGGAATATCACGAAAGTCAACTTATGGAAGTTGAACCAACACTCACCACTCAGAAAGCTATGCCTATAAATATGGTGTACATCCTCCCAGCTCTTTATAGGTCAAAAGAAGATCAGCCAGGATATATGGTGGGCGATAGTCTGATTGGGGATCATCCGACCGCGTTGATCCGCATAATTGATGATCATGACGAAAGGCCTGAAATTTTGAAGATGAACGAATCAAGCACGGCTGGAAAAATAGAGAATTCGAAAGGAGGGATTCCTCGGGTATTCTTCACCAGACCAACTCGAGCGATGACAAAGCATTTGAGACCACTGTTCATTTCCGCTAAAATCAACGGCGTGCCCTTTAAGAAGGTGCTAATCGATGGAGGAGCTGCTGTTAATATCTTACCATTCAAGAGGTTAGAAAAGCTGGGAAAGAACAAGGCAGATCTCATCCCCACAGATTTGACTGTATCTAATTTCGCAGGAACCATTACTGTCACTCATGACATTCTAGTAGCCGAATTTGAAGTCGGATCTAAGAACTTGATGGTATCTTACTTAGTGGTGGATAGCACGTCATCTTACCATGCATTGATGGGAAGGGACTGGATACATCAGAGCATGTCTATACCATCTTCCCTTCAGCAAGAATTACTTATGTGGGACGAAGAATTAGAAGACTACGAGATGATAAAGGCAAATCCACAGCCATTCTTGCCATTTGCCAATAGCGTCGACGCACGGTTTTACAACGAAGACATAGCTCCTCTCACCATTCCAGAACTAGTCAAGAACGACCACTCTCCAGTAGTGATGGCCCAGAAGTTCATCCAGCAGGGCCTCGTTTTCTCAGCAGAAGAATGGGAAAGGCCCCAAATATCCTTCGCCAATTCCCATGGATAAACAAGACCTACAGGAGCAAGAGCCGTCTCTGGCAGAGACATCTCTAGCGGAGCGGTTGCAAAAGGAAGAGGCGATGCAAGAGGAGCTAGGAACGAATCCGGCCAACTATATGGGTGAATTTGTTTCTGAAGACAACTGGACCGAATCGGCCGGGCTAAATGAAGAAATTCAATTAGGGCCTACCAAACTCAGCACGACACCTCCAGAAATTCAGGACCCTCTTGAAGAAATTAATTTGGGGACTAATGAGGATCCGAGGCCAACATTCATCAGTGGCCTCTTGGATCCTGCCATCAAGGAAGAATTGATTTCTCTCCTCCAAGAATTCAGAGACTGCTTCGCTTGGCATTACCATGAAATGCCAGGATTGGACAGAAGTTTGGTAGAACACCGTTTGCCCATAAAAGAGGGCTATAAACCAGTGAAGCAGTTAAAGAGAAGGATGTTAGTCGAGACTGAATTAAAGGTAAAAGAAGAAATTGAGCGATTGTTAAGGGCAGGATTCATCAGACCAGCCCGATACGTCGAATCGTTGGCAAATATCGTCCCCATCCTGAAAAAGGTCACCAAGACTGTCAGAATATGCGTTGACTACAGAAACCTGAATGAAGCTACCCCAAAGGACGAATACCCCATGCCAATGGCTAATATGCTGATTGACGGAGCAGCTCGTAACAAGATTCTGTCGTTCATGGATGGCAACGCAGGGTACAACTAGATCATGGTTGCTGAGAAGGACATTCATAAGACAGCATTCAGATGCCCAGGGCACGTGGGGGCATATGAATATCTAGTCATGCCTTTCGGGCTGAAAAATGCAGGGGCCACGTATCAAAGGGCGATGAACGCCATTTTCCATGACATGATCGAACACACACTCGAAGTATATGTAGACGACGTGGTCATCAAATCAAAGGAACAGGAGGAGCATGTGGAAGATCTCAGGAAGGCTTTCATTAGAATGAGGAAGCATCAACTAAAGATGAATCCGAAAAAGTGCGCCTTCGGCGTTCAGGCGGGAAATTTCCTGGGTTTTCTAGTACATCAGAGAGGCATTGAAGTGGACAAGAATAAAGCCAAGGCAATCATTGACGCCTCTGTTCCCCGTAGCAAGAAAGAACTGCAGAGTTTGCTCGGAAAGATCAATTTTCTCAGGCGATTCATTGCCAATTCGGCTGGGAAGGTCCAACCTTTCTCTTCTTTGCTAAGAATAAAGGACAAGGATCCATTCCTATGGGGGCCGATCCAACAGGAAGCATTTGATCAGATAAAGCAATACCTGAGTAACCCACCAGTTCTCACGCCTCTAAGAAAAGGCGTCCCTCTAAAATTGTATATTTCTGCTTCAGATAATTCTATCGATAGCTTACTAGCCCAAGACAATGTAGAGGGCAAAGAACAAGCTGTATTTTATCTAAGTAGAATATTGCAGGAGGTTGAGACTCGTTATTCTGCTATTGAAAAACTCTGCCTTGCACTGTATTTCACGGCAGTGAAATTACGGCATTATATGCTTCCTTTTACTGTTCATATCATAGCCAAAACTGATCTCATTAAATACATGCTCAATAGACTCGTAATAAGGGGACGATTAGGAAAATGGATTCTGGCTCTCTCAGAATTCAGTTTCAGATACGTTCCTCATAAGGCAATTAAGGGGCAGGCTATTGCAGACTTTTTGGCCGCCCACCCTTGTGTCGAAATTGAGGATTTAAGCACTATGGAAATAGCCAACCTAGGATTCCCACTCAATCAAAGAGCTCCAAAATTGGAAATTAGAAATGTTTTTGGGAGATTGCCAGGTCAGCAAGGACAGATTTTAATCCCTGTAAAAACTGTCCAGGTCAAACCATGGAGATTATTTTTCGACGGATCAAGGTCAGAATCAACAGCTGGTGCAGGTATTGTCATTGAAGATCCATTCGGAGCCAAATATGCATATTCATTTCAGTTCGATTTCAACAGCACCAACAATAGGGCCGAATATGAAGCTCTGATTATCGGCCTGGAAATGGTACTAGAGCTTGGGGTAACCCACTTGGAGGTCTTTGGAGATTCTCAGTTGATAATCAAGCAACTGACAAATGAATATAAATGCAGAGACCCGACTATGGCAGCCTACTATGTCGCAGCCCGCAATCTGAGCTCTATGTTCAAAGATATATCAGTCAAATATATCCCGAGAAATGACAACCTGGCTACCAATGAAATGGCACAAATAGCATCTGGCATCCAGATACAGGAGCACCAGTCCGAAAGGACCATTAAGGTGCAGAAGAGATCCCTACCTTCGATCCTCAGCAGAGGAATGGATCTCGAGATAAACGCAAATGAAGTACAAGCTGGAGATTGGAGAAAACCTTTGATTGATTACCTGACTAACCCATCTCCAAGGGTGAGCAGGAAAGTCAAATACCATGCCACCAAATTCCTAATCATGAATGGAGATTTGTTTCGACGAACCAATGAAGGAGTCCTCTGTCTAGGACCGAAAGAGTCTATGAGGGTCATAGGAGAGATTCATGAAGGATCCTGTGGTGCTCACCAATCCGGAAAAAAGATGCGATGGCTGATCAAGAGATATGGCTATTTTTGGCCAACTATGGAAAAAGACTGTTTTAACTACGCCAAAGGTTGCGAAAATTGTCAAAGTAATGGCCCGATACAGCATCTACCAGCTGTTCCCTTAAATCCGATCGTCAAACCTCGACCTTTCAGAGGATGGGCCATGGATTTCGTAGGCAAAATTGTGCCTAGTTCAAGCAACGAACACACATTCATTATCATGGCCACCGATTATTTCACAAAATGGGTGGAGGCGAGTGCAGTCAAATCCATTTCTTCTTCAATGGTGATCACCTTCATTAAACAACACATCATCCACAGGTTTGGGATCTGTTTGTGCCTAATAAATCACGGCCCTAAACTGGCCGAAGGAGCTCCTTTTCTTGGCCCAAGCACTTCCTCGAGAAGCTGAAACGCAGCGTTTCGCCAAGATGTTGGGCCTTCCTGAAAACAAAAGAAAAATGCTAAGGCATGATCATCTCGGCCTCGATCATCGGCCGAGGCCAAGACCAAGCAAAATCACGGCCAAAAATATCAGAATTGGATCATCACGTGATGACAGGGTCCCATGCTTCATTTAATGAAGTAGTGCCTCTGTTTAGTGCAGCAAACCCACTGGCCACGAATAAACATTTAATGCACGAGAGAAGGTGGGAAGTGATTGGAGTCAGAATTTGGTGATGGAATCAGAGTGATTAGACGTGGACATTCTCACAAGAATTCTTGTGGCTTGAGAGATTAGGTCACCAGCTATCAGAACAATAAATGCGTCTCCACGGCCAGAAGCGCAGAACCCACGATTAGGGCGGCGGCCGAGATTCACCAGGATTTGTGGGGTTGCAATGCCATACTTCACGATCCCAAATGTCGATTGGACTACCCACTTGCTCTAATCAGGCTCCACCATGCGGATTTTCAGCCTCGGCTACTCCTCCAAGAACTCTTCCTATAAATACGAGGCTCAAGCTACATTTAAAGGGTATAAACAGCAAACCAAAGCCTCCCACGGAGCAACTTATATTTTCCTGTAATGCACTTTCAATATCTTGCTTTCCTCGGAGCTGCGGACGCTTTTCCAGGAGAGGATGCCGGCACCCTCGCCCGCGACACCTCCCAGGGCCGGACCGAGGAGCCAAGAGCGCGAGAGAATCGAGCCTTACGGCAAAAGCAGCAGCCTCGGTGGCTCGGCCCACACCCAAGCATCAAGCTACGGCCAGCATTCTTTGCCGCTGACAAACAGCTGGGGGCAGTCCCAGCCCACTTGGGCGAATTCTGGGCCAACCTGCTCAACAAGGACAGCGCGCGGCCCGCTCCACGCTTTGGCCAAAGCATTGGGGCGGGATAGCCCTGCATTGTCTACGGTCCAACAGTTCTGCCCAACCCATGCTATGGCCGACCAGACACGGTCCGGCCAGAGCGACGCGATGGAGGAGTCACAGCAACAATGCAATCAGAATGGCTTGACCACGGCACTACCAGTACAAATACACGGTCCGGTCATTCCAACGACAACGCAGACACACTTAGGTTCCCATGAGGGTGAAATCCAACGGAACCAGGTGGCCATACCTCGATGGTCAGCGGGCCAAATGAACCTCGAACAAGCCCACGGCTTTCCTCTAAAACCACCCGACTCGGTCGCAACGGCCGAGCTCGCCGTTAAAACGACCCAACATATAAAGCCGCGAAATGATGACCAACAGGAGATGCCCCCTCGAGGGTTTCAGGCTAAAGATACCCGGTACGTGACCGAGGGCGGCTTGACTCAGCGACGGCCGGGGGCACCAGGGTGCACAAAGCTGTACCTATCAAGGAAACCTGGAGTTTGGCGCAATTTATTTCCTAAGGGTTTTTGGGCTCGCCGCGCATCAAAAAGCTCGGCCGTGCGCACATCTCCCTGTGTCTTGGCCGACGGCCATGACACTAGTAAATTATTAAAGCTGAGGGTTTGATTTCTTCAGGATATCAAGCGACATAGCCGAAAGAAGGACTACTTGCAAATGATGCCAAGAAGTTCAGAAAATTTACAGCAGTCGAAACTCGGCACCTACAACTCGGCGCAAGTTAAAAAAAAAAATGGCGCCGAGGACCTACGACAAAAAAGTCAAGAAGAAGAAAAGAGGCAGGTAGGCGAACGAATTAAAGCAAGCGGTGCGGTCAACTTAAGGTAAGAAGCATACGTTTGATTTTTTGGGAAGAAGACTAGCCTTATAATTAGGTTAAAGGAGTTTCTTTACAATAAAGATGGACGACCAGTCGTGGCCGATCGAAAAATACAGAAATCATACAAAAATTTATATATAAAATAAAATGTATGTGGTTAATTATTACATCCCAAAATATGTCCGAAACAAGTCGCTCGCCACCCGCCTAGACCCCTTCGCTGAACATGCCCCAGATCAAGCACGTGATCCTCCTCCAGGCGATGTCCCCGCCGTCTATGTCCGCCTGCCACCTCGCCCGGATCAGCTTCCGCTCGGCCAGGGCCTTCTTCGTCTCGGTCGCTGCCTTGAGGATTTGCTTGGTCGAGGACTTCAGCTCTTTCCCGGCCGCGACCGCGCCATCTTGGCGCTGGAGTATGAGATCTCGGCGAGCCTGGAGCTCGGCAATCTGGGCCTCAACCTGCGCAAGCTCTTCATTCTCTCGTTGGACGACTAGATCATTCTCTTTCAACCGGGCCATTGCAGGTTGGACTTGTGTTTTGATCACCTCCAGATCCTGCTCGAGCGAGCTCCCTTCGGCCATCCTCGTGACGGCTTCAGCATACCGGCCGATCATCTCCTCGCCTTCGG